TGCTTCAGAATCAGTACGCCTGCACAGCGAGATCCAGAAGGGAACCTCTGCCCATAGCCTCCAAGTCTAACATTTCACCTCCTTCAAACAAGGCGTTTTCAACATTTTTGCAGCTAGAAAACCTCCAAGGGCTTGAACAGCGTAAACTATATTAAACAGCAGAGACTGAGTGACAGTGGCATACTCTCATTAAAAAACACTTAAAAGTACAAGCTTTCTAATTAATTTAGAAAAGGTGAACGAGGACTGGGGAGCGCTTATGCTCCCTCTCGCACTGCAGAACCTGAAAGAGCGGTAAAATTCTGACAGAGGCCGGCAGCCTTTCCACTTGGTTTAGCATCGGTAGGACAACATGCCTGACCACAGTCAAGTCTACCATGCATATTTAAGAATGCAATTAAAAACCCAGCAACTGTTCCTCGTAACACACATACGCTATCCATCTATCTTTATGAGCTTCAGCTCAGGATCAAAGCATCCACACGCTGCGCATAGGGAAGGGCCAGGCTTGCAGGGACAGCATACCCTTAGCAGACAGACTGGCAATCCTTTTTATCACACCATCCTAACGCCGCTATCTCCAACTGCTGAAGCATTTGCAGTAATGGAGTAACACACTGGCTAAGGTCGTGGCCAGAGGAATTTGAAACAGTAAACTGAAACAGATCAGAAGTTGTAGAAGCTCCACTGAGTCACTAAAAATACTGGTGCCCTCACCACCGTTTACTACTGAAAGGGCACGCAAGCATTATAAAGGATTATAGAAACACAGAGAAGTCTCCCTCCCTGCAGCTATTTTACATGCACCAGAGTTATTTCACTTGCAGTGGCAGGAGCAGCAAAATCTATTTCCTAGATATGAAATACACATGTTCATTACAGCTACAAAACTACTTACCAACAGGCCTGTGATTTGATTGTTCTTGTAGGTCTGCTTGAAATAGATGAGAAGAGCAGATTGTCAGTGACTACAGTTGTGGTTGCCAATGTCAGAAAATGACCCGCGTGTTCCATACAGCCATAGTCTACTGGTACTGCTTTGCCTAAGAAGTTGCTAGTTTAAGACAAAAAAGTACTGTATTTTTTTGGTTTGGTGGGGTTTTGGGGTGTTGTGGTGGTGGTGGTTAACTGATTTCCTTCACCCTCTTCCAGCAAATATAGCCTAATAGGATACAAATAGCTAGCTACTTAAATTAAGAAATAATAGATGCTTACAGCATAATTTTGAATCTTGTAAATTGCACATAAGCATTTTCAGTAATACCTGTAAGAGTTCATCCTCTCCAAATGAAATGCAGACATGCACGATGGGGGATGCTTAGCAGGGATGACCATCTGTATGTAAAAATTCATTTATTTTGCACTTTGCAGAGGGATGGTAGAGCCAATGCTCTGCCAAGAGGAGCAGGCAAGCGACATGTCAAAGCGGAACACTTTGGATAACGCGTTATCTATCATGACAGTACCACTTCAGTAACTAAACTAAATCTTGTCAAAAGTAAACATATCTTTGATGTCTAACCCAGGGAATTATATGACCTTTGTGACTTTGGGCACCCTGTATCAGGGATAATCCCTTATGGAGTACTACTCCAGCTCTATGTTTCTATAATAAACACCAAACGGGCTTCGAATCACGTTAGCTCACTCCAACATGAATTTCAGAAATACACCAACTCAACACATCATGGGTGGCAGCCAGACACCCTACATTGTTTTCACCTTAATCGTCTGAAAAAGCAGCAACCTACTAAAATTTAAGAGTCTAAAGAAGCCGCAGACAAGAACGCAAAGGAGAATTACTTCTGTATTTGCATAAGTACACATGCAGTATAGAAGAGCAGCTTTGTGTGATTTCACAGAGATAATATCAACCCTATGATTCACTATATTCTTCAAGTTAATTTACTGGAACCAGAAAGCTGTGCTGCTCTTAACATGATACCTGCCCCTATTAAAGCCCCAGTTATAAATATATCCAAATCATGTAAACTACACACTGCAACCCACCTGGGCTTCAGTGATGTGTAACATAAAATAAAGATGCAAAATTAAAGTTTTTCAAAACTTATTACTTACCTGTCTTTTGTAGATCACTTAGATCTTCTGTGAAGAAATACACCAATAAAATTATTTAAACAAGAAGCAAAAAAATAATTTTTAGTAAGAAAAATATAATTATCATGCCATTATTAACAGAAGCCAAATGTTAGAAAACAAACTATCTAAAAGGCATTTCTGTAAATCCAACCTGACATGTTTATTCCACACACAGAGGAGAGGAAACCCCACACCGATATGCTAAGCCATGCTAGACACAGCATTGCAATGTAGTAGATCTCAAAACAATGGGAGAAACACACACAATGCCTCAATCCTACAGGCATGCAAGCAGTCTGAATGAGCAAGGAGCAAGATGTCAGGATCATCCACCTGAAAAACAGATGTTGGAAGGACTGCTATAAAAGCAACATCCTGGGCAAGAAATCTTACCTCGTAAAGCCATGTGTATCCAGAGAGGCTACAATCTGCAACCATTCTAAGCTACCACAGGTTTCACCTAATTATTCTGAGAGCACTGGAAACTACGGAAAAGAGAATAATTTATCTGCAGCACCAGATGTGCCTTGGAGCAGGCCTGCTGCACGCAGCGCAGCCCCAGGCAGCCCTCTTCAGCCACAAAAGCAGGCTCGTGCACCCACCTGGGAGACTGCAGTAACCTGAGGTGCTACCACTGTAGGTGTTAATGTAGCTGAGTAGCAGAATCACGTTGCATCCAAGCAAACTGTAGTTTGGATGTAGTCCCCCCCAGATAATACAGTGGTTATCTTCTGCTTCAAAGGGTGGTTAAATTACAGGTAACTAGAAGGCTTCTGCATAGCACTCTGTGAGTCCGTGCAGACACCTCCAAGGCAGAGATGTGAAGGCTCAAAGAGCAGACCGGTCTCAGAAGCTATGCCATGGGAGCGGCTGACACCAAATCGTGTGTCACCTGCACGTTCCAGTGAGTGACAGTATGCAGTCCCCTCACGATGTTAAACCTTTAACAGAAGGGCTAAAGGGCAACATCAGCTCCCATTAAGCTTTGAACAAGAAATGCTGCGCAACAGTTTCATTCCAAGAAAATTCTATGATTTTATGAAAAAACAGGGTAGAGAGCCATTTATCATACTTTGTGAATGCATTTGGTTTTTTCATTGTTGGCAGGTAAGCTGGGGGGGGGGGGGGGGCGCGGGCAGCCGCGGTATTAGCCC